TTGTTTAGATTTTTTATAAAACGACTTAATAAAAATGCAATAAAAATAATGACAAGTTAATGAAAATGCATTTATACAAATTAATGAACACATTACTTTTAATAATAAGAGAAATAAGGGACCGTTACGATATACAATCAAATTAGAATCATAAGCCATACGATCCAAGCTAAGATCTTTGACAGCCTTATATTAGTTTCTGTATATATGTATACATATACATATAATTTTTCCAAATTACTTTTATCAGCGATACGATTAGTCTCGGTCTACAATGGGTGTTTTAAACCCTAAGTCTTAAGAAATTGTTCAATCACAGTGAATTTGAGGAGAATAATTGACTGTGATTGGTCAATTTCTTAGGGCTTAGTGCTCAAACATCTATTGTAGACTGGGACTTATATTATAGTCACTATATTTCTTATACCTTTCTTTGATTCAATCTTTCGAAACACGAATTTTCGAGCAACGTACCTTTGAATATCTTATTCAAGTACTCCATTTTCTTAATGTCTTCGTACGTTAAATTACCATCGTGCTTCGTGTATTCCTCATCAATTTCTTCACGTAATTTGTCTTATATTTTCTGATTTAAAGCCAGCTCGTAAAGCGCGCAACTCATCACCATCGATGAGGTCTCGAAACCAACGAAAAACGAAAATGCTTGAGAAGCCATCAAACTGTCAGTAAATTTTGAAATAAATTATCTTTTAATTTTCTACATTAAATATAAAAAATTGCAACTAATTTAATTATATAATTGACATATTATCAATTATAGTTCTCGCTTATACGAAATTGAATTCCTCCCTTTACATTGTGATTTATAGTATAGAATGATGGAGAACATGCGCATGCATATTCTTTATTTTATAATATTCAAATGCGCAAACTCATATCTCTATCTAAAAATTTTTCGCACGACACAGCAAAATAATAACAAAAACAGACAATATTTACCGAAATCGCCCACTTTATCTGAATGTTTCTTTAACTCGCGTAGCGTGTCAATGAAATCTTTTCTAACAATATTATTCTTTTCCCTGTAGTTTATAATGTCCACGACAAAACGCGTGGAGAAGTCTGTGATCTCCGTATCCGGCAGGATGTAGCCTAAGACATCGTACAACAACGGTAAATAATTATTGATTTTGTATCGCAGGAAATCCGACCAGGGTGGACGAAACATGTTTCTTCTTATTCTGCAAAAATCGCTGTCGTCGTTCAACAGGGCATTCATCTCGATGCCGAAGGCGCACCTACCGATGACGTCAATCGCGTATTTGGTCATCAGCTCACGGCACTTTACGGGCTCATTCCTTCTCGCTAATTCTTCCGTATAATCCATAAGATGGTCGGCGCACTCTGATATCAACGAGAACATCTCCTTCAATTTACGAGATGTAAAGGTAGGCGACAGTTTCGCTCTTAACGGTCGCCATCGCTTCGGTTCTAGATTGAAGAGATTTTGCGACAGCGGCTCGGCCTGCAATATGACAAAGACAAAATTGTAATCGAGTAAATTTCTTGATTTTAATTAGTAATAAAAGTCATCTTGAAAAAGAAGGTTGGATTAAAACATGGAAGGTCAATGTGTATCAATATGTGCAATAGTTACTTGTAAGTTAGGTTAGTAGTGTATGAATGGAAGGATGAATGATTAAGGCTATTTGTAAACCAAGTCCACTTCTTGGCTATGTAGCTGAAGTTAACAATAAATATATAATTAGTGATAGAAGTCAAATTTTAATTAAATAGAATTCAGATTTTATCAAGTTGCGATAACTTTCTTTAGAAATACATCTTTAAAACAACCTATAAAAAACGTATAGCAAAACGTATGACTAGGCAAATAATATAT